GTCTCGGGGCGAGTTACATTTTTAATTTCAAAACCTAGCTGATCTGTCTCAACAAACAAACGTACTCCAAGAGCTCTTTCCACTGGTAATTCATCCAGGTCTAGATTCAGTTCTGGTTTGGCTCTTCTTTCAGCAGGTATTTTGGACAAGGTGTCTTTGCTGTTTGACATGAACTTTGTCAAGCGAAATCCACCACTTCCTAACATTTCTGCCAAGCTGGATGCTGCTCTGGCTGCCAAGTTCTCGTCTTTGAATGACGGTAAGGCGTCATCGAAATAAAAAATCTTCTCAACAATGGCAGTGACTCCCTTCTCAAACCTTTCAGCATTGTCAGCAGCTGTTCTCCTCAAAACAGAGTTTGCAACGCAAGGAGAGAAGGTAGCAACGAATATGTGCACTTCCATGACATAGACGTCTGGGGGCTGCCTATAATCATCAGTCCACCATAAGAAACGTAGAGCATCTTGGTCTTGTCTTCGCACCCTTACTTGGTGGAACATAGCTTCCACATCAGCGGCCAGTCCAACCTTTCCTTGCCGAAAGCGCAGCAGTACCCCAATGAGACTGTTGGTCATGTCTGGGTCTTGGATGGGCTTCTTGTTTTGGGATGTGCCCTGAAACTCAGCTGCAGCATCGAAAAGGATGCGAAGCTTTCCAGGTTTGTTGAGATTGATTACTGGCTGATGAGGCAGGTACCAGGTGTATGAAGTCTCTATAGCTGCTTGTTCAGGAGATAGTTCTCGGGCGTAGCCTTTAGAGATACTCATCCATGACCTCGCGGTACGATTTTCAGGTTTTGTGAAGCGTCGCCGAAGAAGTTCCAGTCTCCCTTTCGCTAGGGTGTAGTCGTTTGGCAGCCGTGGCTCATCTTTCCTCCCCAAAAGGCCAACTTCGTAATTCCCATTTACGAAAGTGATGATATCCTCTAGAATCTTCACAGCTCGCCTATGTTCGATGGACAGTGGTTTGGCGTTCTATTGGGTCTTCGTGCTGAGTGCCGACTGACAGAAAGTTAACAGACGCTTGTTTTCTCCGGCTACTGTTTAGAGGCCCTGCGATACTCCAACCGAGTGGAGATCGATAACCATGGAGGCCATTTTCGCCTGGTGGGAGCCTGACTTCATTTTGCAAGTGTGCTGCGGGTACATTGTTGCCCACAATTATCGATACTCTTTTCACGTCAACCTCTGAAAAGGTCAGACCTTGCAAGTGGGAATAGTCCTCAAAATCCACTTTCTCTGGCAAAACTTGTTCCGACTGACTGAGATCTGGGAGGACATAGGCTTCACTGACATCTATATCACGGCCACACCCTTCCACTGGACTTAGGGTGAATGACACACATTTACTTTCTATCAGTTCTTCATTGTTCCTTATCGTCTTGATACCAATTTGTTCTAAAGGTCCTTCCAGATTAAGCTGATCAGCAAGTTCACTATCAATGAGAGTGTCGGTACAGCCGTTGTCCAAAAACGCATAGTTAGAAAGGGAAGCACCATTCTCTGTGGTGACAGTTACTGGTAGCCCGTTTAGCAAGACTTGAGCCCTTTCGGTGCCTATGCCATTTGAACTTACTGAGGACTGATGTTTGTTGCCCGTTGGAGGTTCTATTTCTTGTCTTGAACCCTGTGGTTGGAGGGAGGTGTAGTAGCAGGAGGCACTTGTTGTTTGGCATTATTATTCCCAACATCTCCTTTCTGATCTCTTGTCCTGAAGCGACGGCCACTGTCATTCTCCTTATGCAGTAATGTTAGATGATGACCAGTGCACTTGGTACAAGCTGGGGGTTCTGGGAAGGTGGAACCGCTGTAATTAGGTTTGGGACAGCCGCAATTAAATTAAAATCCATACGATGCTGCTTACTGACGCCTCACAGCCACGCGATCGCACCTCAAAATGATCGGGCAGTGCTGCAAACGATGAGATCCAGACTTACAGATGGAGCAGTTGGCTAAGGGTTTTTTTCTGAATCGATTCTCGACCTGTGTGGATGAGATTGTGGTTTTCTTTGCATACAGCAGTAGGGTCCCTTTGCTTCTCGGGGCATTCTTGTTTTCCTCTTTGTTTTCTCGTCTTTGCCGCTGGGATCCAAATACCGGATCGTTTCAGATTGAGGCCTGCCTTTTGACGAAGTCTGCAATGTCCTGCAATCGGGCAGTTCTTCCTCTGCTGACTATCTCATAGTTTTGAGTCTGCCATTTTGTGATCAGGTCATTTGGGAGTCTGTTTTTAATCCTTCTCAGATTAGTAGCTGCACTAGCTTCTCGCTCAACATCACCCCTCAGGATTTTTGATGCAGTGTTCAACTCCTCTGCAAAGTTTTGCAGACTCACACTGTCACCCTAGTTGAGCCTAGGGCCAGTAACGAGGTCCTCAATGCAGGCTTGAGACACCTGGATGGGTTGACCAAAACGCTCCTCTAAAGTCTTCATGAGATCGTCATAGGAGCAGCCTCGGTTTCTTTGGATTACGTTGAGCGCTTCAACTTTCAAGAATTTTGATGATAAGTACTCAACTCTTTGGGCGTCATTAAGCAGCTCACTTTCAAGATATTCTCCTCTTGTTTAGTGACTGGAACAGACTTAGGCTTACACTCAAAGGAGTTAATGTCTTCATGGCAAGAGAGACGGAAGTTGGTAACTGGTAGCCGGTCTTCCTTATTTTCGCGCATGGGGGAAACATGTACTGGTACCTTGTCGAAGGGGGTGGAGTAATCTACTGGTGCAACATCTGGCATTGTCTTACATGGCCTCTTAGAGATATCCAGCCTACTTGGCTCCGACTCTTCAAGAGCAGGTTTACGGCTGTGTTGGAATGGAAGCTTATCAGTCCAATACTTTGGAGGAACCTCATTATTGGCGCCCAGTAGACCAGTTCCTTCATCGTAATCCCTTTCGATTTTCCAATATAGCTCGGCTAAAGTTGCTTCATCCTCTAAACGCCTCAGTTCAGTTTTTGCATTTTGTTTGGCTAACTCCGCCTCCTCTTCAGCTCTTCGCTTCGCGAGCTGCAGCTTCTTCTCGGCTAACAGAGCTGTACGTAACCTTTCCTTTCTAGATGATGAAGAGGCCTTTGAAGACACAGAACTCCGGTGTGTTTTTCCAGTCTTTATAGAGATTTCATCTTCGTGCTTCTGGGTTTCTCGATCTGACTGCATTTGCCTTTCACATTCTTCGATTAGCATTGTCATTGTCTCTTTGAGAGACTCGAATCTTGCTCCTACCTTTTGAAGACGTTTCCTTTAATTAATTCCTGGAACATACTTTGCATGAATAGCCTCGAAGGAATTCCAGGCAAGGGTTAAACTCTCTACCATTTTCTGGGCGGATGAGGGGTCCCAATTTGTGTAAAGACAAGTACGCAGTTGCTGTGTTTCGGCAGCGACGTATCTAGCAACTTAGTTCCACGAGTTCGCCAGTCGAAGTTGTTTACTTATACCCTTTTGCCGCAAAACTTCACTGAAATCGATTTGTGTATTTGGCAGGGGGTCCTGGCGTAGCGAGTATCCAAATGCTTCTACCGCTGATGGTGGGTTAAGATCATTAGACGGCAGTGAAAAGGCTGTGAATCCAATATCCAGGGGAAAATCTTGGTTGGCTTTAACCGACAGGCTCATTCCAGGGTCCATTTGATTTATCTCCAAACCTGAATCAACTTGGTCTACTCCTCGATCCACAATCCTGTGATCCACTCCACCTATACCATTAATTGCACCGGAAGCGATCATTCCTCAATAAATTCGGGTAGAGGGACTGTCTTCAACAAATTACTCTGGGTAGGACAAAAAAAAATTTCACTATGTTGGGAATAGCACAAAACTTCGACGCGTTATCCGTAACATTCCTTTAATTTTCGACCATCCCAATTAATAGTATGAACATGTCACGAAAAATCGGTTACGAGACGGTGAAAAGTTTTGTGCGAACCAAACGATTAAAAGAAGAGTTTACAACCGCAAGAGCTCGTCGATAAGAACACCTGTGAGAAGCTACAAAATCATGTGACCAAACTGTACCTCGTGTATATGTACCGAAACGTAACGCAACAAAAAAAAAAACAAGAGCAAGGGAAAAACGTCACGGACTAAGTTTAACTACACTTATACCTGTCTATCAACATGGACCTTACATAAACCACACTAGGATATAGTCCATTTTGCAGTTGCATGCTTGGTTACCAAGCCTTTGAACAGGAGTGAGGCTAACGGTGACCTAATGTTATGATACAGATGTTGCTACTCTTCAAATGTAAACTACTTTGTTATCATACTTCTGTAATTAGATACTGGTCTTTATCACAACAAGGCCACCTTCAGCCTCACTCCTAATGAAAGGCTCAGTAACTAAGTACACAACTGTTACATGGCCCGTATTCCCATGAGAACGATGCAAAATATTATTCTAAAAAGAGAGCAGTTTCCATAATTACACAATTTACATTTGCTCTGACAAATGGTTTATGATCGAAATGTCACCTCTACAAACTTTTTACACTGGTGAATTTACATTTATTTTATTTATCAACCCAATTCATAAAGCAAAATTACCTTGTAATACCCTCCACCCACACGGCACCACAGTTTCCTCAGAAACTTTAATTTTCCCTTTTATCAATCAGCATATAACATGTCACCGCATCCTCTCTTCTTTATTCAGCTGACTAAGAAAACAAGTGTGCATTTTTTTAGTACACAAAGAATGTTAACATAACTGTGTCTCTGTTTTCACCTTCTCGTCTTGTGTCCGTAAGCTGAGCACAAATTAACAAATTTAATATGCAAATGCATCCTTCAACCAATTTGCTTGAACTAACAAGATTTGTACATGAAATAGTTGTGAAAAGTCACAGTTTGCATTTTGCACAATGTTTCATAAGAATTGAATTGAGCCATTCCCCCTCCAAACCATAGTGTTTGATTTGTAGTGGTTGAATACTGCAACTCAAGGGGTACACTGTAAACGGCTGGAACTAATATATATGTTTTGTATTTCAAATTTTAGTACGTTCATCCATACAAGAAATACTAGACCAAAATGTTACTGAAGGCAACAATTTGACTCTGATATGTAATGTATCTGGAATCCTTTCTCCATTGGTGTCTTGGATGGCGCCTTATGGTCAGAGTACTGTCGGAACTGTTTTGGTGGTTATAAACATTGGCAGGAGTCAAGCCGGTGAATATAAATGTGAAGCTAGTAATGACTGTGGAAATTCAACAGAGACAGCAACTATTTATGTGCAGTGTAAGTAGAAAGTTATCCTTTTCTTGTTGTTTCTTGTATTTCTGTGTCTTGGTATAACCACTTGCCCTAGTGTTACTTTATTGTTGAACAAACTTGTGTTTGTGTAAGACTCAAACGCATCACTGAGAAATTTCTTAAAGGTGAGTAAATGTTAATTTTGCTATTGTAATTGATTAAATTAGAAAAGGAACTCATCCTTGAGTTGTAGTCATAGTAAGCTAAAATTAAGGGTTTTCTGAGGGCTATAACATTATTGTGGTTACATAAAAAAAAAAAATCACAGTTGTTCAGGAATAACTGGGCAGACTGAAAAGCCATTTGGCGCCCAGAAACCTGAAAGCTAAGCAAATGACAAGAGCCCTAAGCGCCTCTTAAACTGGCTCAAAGATTACTTTGCCACGAATTCTTGTAGCTATAAATTGAAATTAAGATTTAACATATATAGGAGAAATGGAACAGTGCTGAGAGAAACGTAAGTGATACACAAATGTAAGCATTCCATAGGTCAGGGATAAAGAAGGTGACTCCTAGGCCACTGTAAATATCCACTTGTAACTTACAAAGGCCAAAGAACTTATACTTATAAATTGTCTCTTTCTTCCTCAGACAAACCAGAGAATGTCCAGTTAATGAGTTCAGCCATGAACGACAAAGCGTGCAAGCGAGAAATCATCAGCTTTAACTGCTCAGCTGATGCTGATGCTTTAGATCTTAACTGGCGCACCTCTACATTAACACATCCAAAATCCGACAGTGTTTCATAAGAATTTGAAATGAAATTTAAATCCTTACATTTTTTGATGCCTGTTAATGATTTGTTCCTTTTAAAGATGCACCAACGATTACAAACATTTCTGGTGGGCAGACCGTAAACAAAGGTGACGTGGTGAGTTTGTTCTGTATGGCAGAAGGTAATCCAGCACCAACTATGACTTGGACAAAAGTCGCCGACAACAGTCCAGTGAACTTCCCTATGATCATCCGTGGTAGTCAGGATGAAGGACTGTATAGATGTACTGCTGAGAATGGTGTTGGAAGCCCTGTGACTAGGGATGTCAGCATGACAGTACATCGTAAGTGAATTATTTATGGCTGTTATGACCGTTGTATTTTGTTTGCTAACAACATTGACCTGCAATAGGTGTACAATCCACAAACTTCTTGAGCTTGTTTGTTCAGACTGATACCTTATATGGAGCGATTTCAAATGAGTGTCGAAAGCAATATGGGTTTGGTTTGGTTTTACTGAACTCAGTTCTCAGATTGATTCAGAAAACTCGTGCCATCCTTTCCACCAATCAGATGTAAAACTAAAACAATTGCGACTTTGTCACGCCTCAGGAAGTCTGCTTGTTTTCACTACGTGCTCCAATTGGGTAATGATAATGTTAACCTTCGTATTGGTCGCTGTGATTATTGCTGTGTTGGGTTTTTCGACACTTATTTGGAAACTAATCCTAAGTAACCAAGTCGCCAAGTCCTTTGATGCATGTTACGAGTTTCGTTTAACTTATGGTGTAGAGATTTGAACTGTTGTTGTCAATGTATATACATGCATGGTTTTTGGTAGGGTTCTGGTAAATGTAAATTTTTCATATATTTGTGTCGGTACGTTTATGTTGCGAAATTATGGTAAAAAGTCGTCACCACTTAGCCAGTATACAAATGGAAATCCGAAGCTTATCTGACCGGTAAACCCTCACTTTTACAGTGCTAAGCACAGGTAGGAACTTATTCAAAGATTGTTTAAGAATGGATCTTGAAAATATTATGAGAAATAGTCTAATAATTTCTTTTCCTCGTGCATATCAAAAGTTTAAAAAATGTAGTGAGTAAGTTTTTGCTTTGCAATCAGAAACGTCAGCAGAACTTTAATTTATCCAACAGTGTCGTGTGACTGTTTCTACTTATAGGAAACCCTTGCCTAGAGGAATGTACGAATGGACGAAATTGCAGAGAATTCGGAAAATACCTTTGCCTATGTCCAAAAGGGAAAACAGGACAAAATTGCAAAGAAAATGGTAAGTTGAGCAAAGTCAGACGATGGCGGGCGAATATTTTTGACAAATTGGTTAACGAGAGGTCAATAATTGAGACTCAAGGGTGCGATGGAGGAGGGAAACTATGTCTACCGGTACTGCAAGTCTGAACAAATGCATTGTTAAAGGCAGGGATCTTACAGCCCCTGATGGAGAGATACTTTGTAAGAATTCCTAACGATAATTTATCTAATTGTCGTCCTGGTGTACGTCGGCTGTTCCATGGAGTTGTTGTTATTTCTAGTCGTTGGTGTTTGGATGAGAATGCCCACAATATTCTAAGAAGTTCAGTTCGTTGTGACAACGATATAGGTCAGGAATAGTATTGAGTGTAAAAAAACCATCAGTAACTGAAATATCAGAGAGGTACGAGGGAACCACTTTGTTTCTTTTGTTTCAATTTCGCTGATTAATTTGATAGTAGGTGATGAATGTTGTGCTCACAAACGTCTTCAGACGATCAAGTTTGCAATTTTGTTTCCTTTTGCTTCAACAGACACAATGGCGGCTGTTATTATGATCAGCCTTAAAATTAATAATAAAAAGTGGAGAGAGGAACTTACCGACTTGTCTGACTTATATACACAAGAGTTTGTTGAAGTAATCGTAGATTCGGTAGGTCTTTTTGGTTGTTCTAATTTTGAAAAGGTACGGAATATTTGGTTAAGATAAAAAATAACAATCAGATATTTTCCAACAAACAATATCCTACAGTATCCTGCTTTGTTTTCTCGTTTAACTCCTGCAGTAAAGCAGAAGGGAGGCATTTATGTTAATCCCCTCTTCCTCTGAAAAGAAAAGCTTTCTCTTACGCAAGGGAGGTTGATCCAGTCTAAACATTACCAAAATGGACCTCGTTTTCAATTCAAGTTTTTGTAGAGCTCAAAGCATCATAAAGCGAGAAGTGTTTTACGTAAAGAATGAAAGACATTTCCCTTCTTCTAAATTGTAATTAACAAATCAAAACATCCTTTGCTTAACCGAGGGTTCATCTCCAATGTTGGGTGCAGTAGAAACTCATCCTTTCTCCACCAGACCAACCTATCATTTGAATATCGATGCTTTTTAGGTGGATGAGGAATTCAAAGGTTCTGGCGTCAGAGAAATTAATGTGACGCGGCTGAGGTATCATCTTTCATCAATGAAAAAAATCTACTTACTCTTCTTTAGTTTTACTTTTGTTTATGTTTCTGGTTTAATTACTCCTTAAAACATGAACTTTTAGGACTTATTTCATTTGCAGAGAGGGAAGTGTTATTGCAGACATCTCGCTCACATTTGGCGAGCCTGTTGGAGAAAGTGAAGTAGAATCATTGCTACAAGAAACAGTTAATGATGGAAGCCTTGGTACTCTAAAAGTAGATACTTTTGCCGTAGGAGCAACTCTTCCAGGTATAGGATTATGATGGTGTACACCGAACACATTAGTTGGTTACGCGGCTGATGCAAATTATGTCGTACATTTGTTTAAGGTTTCGTCACGATTCCCGGTCCAGTTCCATCAGAACCAACAAAGGTGAATAAGGATGTTATTTACGGCTCGGTTATTGGGGTGCTTGGCCTGATTCTCGCTGTCATTGCCGTTTTCATTGCCTGGAAACACCACAAACGTAAGTAGACTTAATTACTTTACTCAGTTTTGTAATATTCTTATACGAGAGGCTAGTAACTGAGATGTATGAATTGTGGAGGGTTGATAAAGAGAGATTCGATTGAAGAAAATAAAGGAGTTAAGAAGGAAAAGGTAAAGAAAAAGCCGCAATGAATCGGACAACTTGCAACAGTGTAAACGTTTCTAAAAATCTTTCAGTTCATGACACCAATCACCAACTTTTTGTTCGATATTATTATTATTATTAATTAAAAGTGCTCATAGGCGAAGGAGTTTGAAGTGCGTCAATTAGTGATGAGGATTAATAAATGTTGCAGTTGCTTTCTTTTTATCTGATATCATTTCTTAATTTTTTTCACACCTTTTAGGTGAAAGAGATGATCGGTAAGATGGCATTAATATAAAAAGCTAATTATGCGGCAGCATCCGTAGATCCGATTAGCAGAAAACGTGCTGTGCTTGTATTTATAGTCATTTGAANATATTCTTATACGAGAGGCTAGTAACTGAGATGTATGAATTGTGGAGGGTTCACAAAGAGAGATTCCAATGAAGAAAATAAAGGAAATTAAGAAGGGAAAAGGAAAGAAAAAATAGAAACTTGCAACAGTGTGAACGTTTCTCAAAATCTTTCAGTTCATGACACCAATCTCCAATTTTTATTCGATATTATTATTACTAATTAAAAGTGCTCACAGCCGAAGGAGCTTGAAGTGCGTCAGTTACTAATGAGGATTAATACAATGAAATGTTGCAATTGTTTTCTCATTATCTGATATCATTTCTTAATTTTTTCCACACTTCTTAGGTGAAAGAGATGATCGGTAAGATGGCATTAATATAAAAAGCTAATTATGCGGCAACATCCGTAGATCCGATTAGCAGAAAACGTACTGTGCTTGTATTTATAGTCATTAGAAAACTTTTAGTTCTTATCGTTCGGAGAAGTTTTTTTCTGTTTAATTTAGCCAGATAAAAGCGTGGCAGTTTGAGAAAAAAACTGAGTTTAACAGATTCGATATACTTACGTTGCATAAGGAACAAAAAAAGTGTTATTGAGATTTACAGTAGTCAGTGTCCTTGAAAGTAAGTCTTGCGTTTGATTTCCTTTCAGACTTAATGCAGGTACTAGGAGGTCACGTACTCTTAGAATTGTAAGTTTGGTGTGCATTTTTTCAGAATGCCCCTCTCTATGATGATCAGCAAATATCTATCTAACTGCATAGTAGTGATTTATTTTACCCACTCCTTAAAAGAGCATTTTGCTCTCGTGAATCAGATGAAGTTTAAATTTAGAAGTCAGATTGCACTCTGCCGACAGGTTTCCAATAATCCCACAAATTGGTGATGCATTTACGTGTTAAATCGTCTTGGTACTAATTCGCAAGTGCTTGACGAAAAGTTATTAGAGTTAATGGATGTCAGCATATAATCAAAAAAGTCTTGTATAATTAGGATAACCGCTTCAAAAACCTCTTCCTTGTTAATCACCTTTTATCCTTGGACAGGTAATGGTTGTGTTTGACTTTCCTATATTCTGGAACGATGTAATGAATATGAAAGAAAAGAACCTAATATACCAAGAAAAGGACAATGTTTCCAATTCTTAAGGGAAAAAAACCATGCTAAACTAAACGTGTCTTTCGTTTCGCTGGAAAACAGAACGAGGGATTTGAACTGGAACGCATTAATGGAAACCTTAGCACCGTCGCGCATCATGACCCAGGACATTACATGGACCTGAATGAAGTTAGATCACTGAATGGACCTGCCACAGACCCAACACGAAGCTATTTAGAAATAAACGAATATGCTCCCCTGCATCCAGGAACGCGCTCGTGGGAAGTGGAAAGAGAAAACGTTACAATTGAAAAGGTGATCGGAAAAGGTGCCTTTGGTCAAGTCGCTCAAGGAAAGGCTTCAAATCTTCGAGGAAGAGAGGAGACAATAACAGTTGCAATAAAAATGCTGAAAGGTACTCTATTCATTTTCTTAAGTCTGTTTTAGTTTAGATGAGGCTTAACTCTTACTGGGTTGTCGTCCTCTGCTTTAGGTAACGCCAGAGATTTAGAAAAGAAAGATTTGCTGTCAGAGCTTGAAATCATGAAGAAACTCAAGCCCCATCCTCATGTCATCAAGTTGCTGGGATGCGTCACTAAATCAGGTGAAGGAAATAAAATTTTGAAACTTCTTAGTTTATGTCTGCTCGTATCACCCAGACAACTAAAGTATGAAACATAGTCAGGATTCGATGCTCAAACTTACTTAAACTGACATAGTTTATAATTTATTGCTCTCTCGCTGCACTTAATTCCGTCATTGTTGATGCCACAGCATTGACGAAGTGCGTTTGTACCAAGTCAACCAGGTAAATAATGAATTTTCGCTACGAGCTCCCTTCAACTTGATTTCTCCGGTTTAAAACAGACCCTGGTTTAAACCTTACATACCCCTGCACAAAGGTTTTCGTTTTCCCATCGCTGCAATTACCTCAGAAGACAATGTGCTGTGTTTTTCCTACAAATTCTTTCAGATCCTTTGCTTGTTCTAATCGAGTATGTCCCATATGGAGATCTCCGGGGCTATTTGAGAAAGAGCCGGCATTTAGAAGATAACTACTTCAAGGACCCGGATATAAAACCACAAACGAGTTTGACTTCCCAGCAGCTGATGAAATTTTCCTGGCAAGTAGCTGATGGTATGCATTATTTGTCCTCAAAAAACGTAAGTCGGATTGTTAAGTATTAAAATGATTTTTCCGACTCGGTGCCAATCGATGTAAGAGATACTTTATTCATTTCAACTTTCGTAGACATGTTGATTAGACAAGAAAAAACAACACATTTAGTGGAACCATTTCAATTAAAGATCGATGCTTGGTATTTTTCTCAACAGATTATTCACCGCGACCTTGCAGCCCGCAACGTCCTGGTTGGAGAGCGAGAACGATGTAAGGTAACCGATTTTGGAATGGCTAGAGACGTGTGCCAGGAAAACATCTACGAAAGGAAGTCAAAGGTTTCTGATTTTATTATCTCGATAGTCTGGCTAATACCGTCATACATTAGTACTGATAAATGCTATCTAATTCTGTAGTCATTTTGTTCTAAATTATGTTTTGTGCAACATCGTCACCAAACAGTGCGCAAGAACAAAAGTACAAAAACAAAATGAAGAATATTTCCCAAATAATTTTTGCTCATTCTCTTCAACATTTTTTTAAACGTTTTCCCAAAGGGGAGACTGCCAGTGAAATGGACAGCTAGCGAAGCGCTGCTATACGGACGATATACGACGAAAAGTGATGTGTAAGTGGATCTAATCAGTCATTGAATAGTTCTGAAAATAAAAAAAAATCTTTCAGATCTCGATATCTTGAGACTATGATATAATTTTACTTTATGTGCGAACTTCAAATGAAGCCTTATCTTTCTTTCTTTACTCAGATGGAGTTTTGGTATTGTGCTTTACGAAATCTTCACGATAGGTATGTCAGATAATTGTGTCTCAGTCAGTGTATATTATATGGATGGCGCGCTTTTTGATTGAGTCACTGTCTACATATTCAACCTCTCGTTCTAGGTGGCTCTCCGTATCCAAAGATAGACGGGCGAAAAATTGCACATTTACTTTCTCAGGGCTACAGAATGCCTAAGCCACGGCACGTGGACGATACCCTGTAAGGCCATGTATCCATCCATTTATTCAATTATTAATGAACTTGATCATACGATGTTTCAGTTTTTTTAGTTACAACAATATCTCTTGAGTATTGAAAATGTTTTTCCTGACCTAAAATATACTATCTATTTATTGATCTCTACTATCTTCAACTTCTTAAGGGTAGTGGTCCAAAATTTCAAGCTCATTTAATTGTGTGCAATATTTTTTGAAGAACTTTTAATATTCCTAAACTAAATCCAAGTGTTTAATTCATCTAGTTATAAGATAATGCAGGACTGCTGGCAAGAGAATCCTGATGATCGCCCAGTGTTTGAGAGTCTTAGGGATGATTTGAAGAAAATGGAAAATCAACATCAGGTGAAATATTTTGAAATAAAATTATGCAAGGCTTGGTCATCCGTTGATATAGAGGTCATTTAATTTATATTCATCGATTTCCTCTTTCTCTTTTTCCTTGCAGAGGCTCATCAACATGCAACTTTACGACAACATCCTTTACGCAAGTGTGGAGTGAATTCTTGTTGAAGAATGTTGGAAAAAATTCCTATCATCAAAGGCGGCAACCGTTTCTCCCACACAGTATTTGAGAATCTATGTATTAAAAGTAGATGCTTTTTAAAGATAAATCAAGCCATTTTAATGTGCACGGCTGCAAAAAATAGAAGAAGTACACTGCCCATAAGGAGAGGTAGAAGTCGAAATGAAGTAAGCAAGCGGTTTATTCTAACAGTTATATTGGTATTTGGTATGGAAGTCAAAGCGAACAATAACTTACTATATATATATATATATATATATTGATAAATAGTCAATGTTTGTTATAACATTTAACAAGGATGGCAGTGTACTTTACGCGGCACTCAGCCTACTTTATAGAATACTCAAAATTTACTTGCTACTGTAGCCAAGGTTTGAATATTGATTGCGCATAAACTTTAGAAACTTTACCTGAGGAAGGTCAGGAAGTGCTTGACAAATTATTTTATTGTTGCATTTAACCCGAGCCTAAGGTGGATTAAGCATGCATGCTATATGACCTTAATAGTTAAAACACGTCCTCGAATAAAAATTGGAACCACAAGCGAGCGGTGTGCATTTTTATGTAGAATGTATTTTTGTATGATTTTTTCTGTAGCTTGTCGAGAGCTTCGTAAAGTCGATGCCGAGTTCAGCATGAATTTCCACTTTCTCCTCCCAAAAAAGGTGGCATGATAAATGTCGTTTAATATCGTTGCTATGGATGTCGCTGAATTTTGGGAGATCCTCGAACTCCTTCACTTGCGTTTTGTTTGTGTGTTGAGAAAACTTTGTCCTCATTCTTTGTGGAGAAATGCCGGACTTTGTATCTGAAAATTATTCAGTTTGCCTTCTTGACAGCAGTTACCAATTCGGGAGTACACCACCTGTCGGTGATTAGCCTTTCTTTGTCGCAATGGCTACAAACCCAGGACTAATCCACCGTTTATTTTGACAGCTTGGACGCACCATATAGATGAAAAATCAACTAGTTTTTCTAACGAACCCTAGGTAAAATGATAAAAGAAGATATATATGTATAGGTTGGTGTACAGTTGGATTATGCCATTTAATATGCTTGACCTCTTTTATGTTTATGTGATAAAATTGATGCGAAACCTATGTGTATAGTAAAAGTAAAGTCTGTTTATGAGCCTAGTGGCCCATTAGGCCGGTGCTTAACTCCGGTTTCTGTAGCATGAAGCGACTAGGAGTATTTCTACTCCCCCCTGGATGGGATGCTAGTCCATCGCAGGGTCACCCCCAGCATTAAATTGCCGATACCAATTTATACACCTGGGTGAAGAGAGGCACTGCGAGAGTACAGTGTCTTGCCTAAGAACACAACACAATGTCCCGGCCGGGGCTCGAACCCGGACCACTCCATCCGGAGTCGAACGCACTAACCATGAGGCCACCGCGCCTCCGAAACCTATATGTATACTTATATTTTACCATGATTTTTATTTTACTTATTTTATTAGTTAGCATTTTTTGGTTTTTCGGTGTTACTTGCAAATCCAAATTGCAACACGAGCATTTGAAACTTAAAATGAAATTAATAATCTTGAACCAAGTTTAGCAAACTTAAAAATGTTTGTAACGATCAGAAGAAAAATCAACAAGCGCGAGATATTGACCTAGATGACATAACGTCAACCTTCAAGTGACATTCATTGCGATTCTTATATCTCCGAGTAAATCATGCATTTTATGGATTGCAAATATACTGACTTTGCGTTTTATAAATGACGTTTCATTACGATCTATAAATCGCAAGCGACTAAAATTTTTTCACTTTACACATTTGAGATGTGTTCGCAGACGTGTGATATATGCATTGCAAATGCATTATCTTTAAATTACCAACGCAATTATAAATCGCAAATGTTAAACTTATAAACCATGAATGTGCGATAAACATAGAGGAGATAATTTCTTTACACTTTGCACCCAAGTATGTAAATAAAATATCTATCATGTCGCAAATCGCAGCGTCATCTTTAAAATATATTTTCACCCGCCTCGTTTTGGCGGGAGACTCAGGAAAAGCTCTAAGGAATGAAGAGATATTAATAATGGCCGAAAGAGACTGATCCGTGGCAAGGAAATATAAATCAACCGTTTTTGCAGCGTTAAGCTAGGCCCTCGGATCGTCTCAAGAAACTCAGGAAATACCAGAAAGAAGAGTACATCTTGTATCAGTGTTCATTAAACCAATTCCTTTTATGAGAAGAACTCGCAGCTTTCCTTTATCACTTCTTACAGCTGAAAGAGACTAGTCGAGGAGACCGCGATGGCCTCACGTAGACTGAAACTGAACAAGAACTGCGCCCGTATGCCCAAATACGACGTTAGAATTCATAAAACGCACATTTCTGAAATTTGAAGTTTTCAATTTACTCGCTTGAGCACTTGTTATAAAATATAGTGAGTCCTATAGCGTACTGTACCGGCAAACGACTCTACTGGTTACTATCCGGATCTTCCATGTGGTTTACATTATAAACTATGTGTATGTTTTACAATCACAATAGGTCAATTAGTAGGTCTACTCTGGGGCCTTAAGTCGCCGTAACCCTGGGCGATTTAAGGCGACTTAGGCAAAACTAGCATAAAAAAAAACACTGCGACTTTACACGATTTAAGGCGACTTAAGGGGACTTGAAGCGATATATTTGACTGAAGTGATAAAATAAAAGTTAGCAGCAGTCTCTCCATAAACCATCAAAATATTGACAGAGTCTCTTGCAACAAACACAATATGAAGGGTGGAACCCTTATAACATTGCGCAACCAATAGCGACTTAAGGAAACCTAGGTCGACTTTGTAATTAGGCGACTTAAGACAACTTAAGGTCCCAGAGTAGGCCTATTAGTACAGTTACGATAGTCCAAGAAAACATTCACAGAAAGAGTCCACACGTGCTTGTGAACATGTTTTACGATTAAAATTAAAGTATCGACATTTCGGTATTGAAAGGAAGGGAGACAAAGGAAAGAGTAGGGATAGAATGTTTATTAGGGAAGTCCTGCTGTGC